AATTGCTGTGGGGCAAAGGAGCAAAGCCACACGGGCAGCGGGGTCCCACCGCCTGTGCAGCTTTGCTCGGGTGTTCCTGCTGTGCTGGGGAGTCCCCCCCAGCACACCAGGGAGACCTGGAGCAGCTTTTCTCGCCCCGGAGGACGCGGTGTCGGGACCGCTGCGCTCTGGGCGGTCCCGCTGCCCGTGAGCTCTGGGGCGAGAAAAGCCCCGTTCGTAAGTGCGGATCTGACATAAGTCGGATCTGCGTAAGTCGGGGACTGCCTGTATACCTTTCAACATGCCAACACTCAACTATTGAATATAATGTGTGTCCAAGACCCAAAACAAGGGAAACAAAATAATATCCAAATTCAAAATGATGAGATTTGGTTTCCAGTGTAAATAATACTTAAGTGCAACCTTTAACTGATGATTATTTATTTAAGATGTAAATAACTGACATCAACAAAAGTGAAGGGATATCACATTTGTTGGGAACACAGATAACTCTGGGACTAAATTGAGTTAAGTTTCTCAAAAGAAAGGACATTTGGGAGGTCCACTGAAAAGGCTGGCCATGATAACAGTCTCTAAATAATGTAAGACTGCAAGCATGAAAGAAAATGAGGTTATTTAAGGTGATTTATAATGGGAGGAAGTGAGGTGTATAACCAGCAGTAAATGATGGAATTGAGAAAACGAAAAATTAAACTGAATAGCAGAAAAAAGGCTTTTTGATAGCAAGATGTATTATCTTATGGAATAGTTTCCCAAGGAGAACTGTGGAAGCCCCATCATTTGTGACATTCACAACTAGTCAGGAAAAAAATACTACAGATATGCTGGAGAACAGTTAATAGATTAGAAAGTTAGTGGTTCCCCTCCTCCTTTCTTCTTTCCAGGTAGTATGATACTATACGAAACAGATTCTGTTCAGCAGAAATTCAATGATATTTTTGAGTCTTCTGCTAAATGTTTTTTTTTTCTAAAAGCCATACCATCCCTGCCCCGATCACCACCGTAAAACCACACATGTCTTCTTTGCAATATGTCCAGACTGGTGAAACAAAAATTCTGAGAGTCTCTATTGAATTTTTATCTTATCTTTCTCCAGGATACCTCTTTCCATTACATAGTTTATAAATTATATAAATGTGGAATACAGAATAGACTACTGCAGATGAGCAATTTTTTGATAGAGCTGGCAATACTACATGTGGGAAGACATCTGTGAGATGCATCAGAAGATCTTTCATCTTCTGATGCATCTCACAGATGTTCACAAATAGAGAAAATTGTTACTTTGGTGAAGGCAGCTCATGTGCCAATAAATGTAGGGAACTAGTTTTAAAATAGGAGCTTGCAGGCTGTGAAATTAATAAAACAACAGATCTGACCTAAACTTCTAATGACAATCAGCTTGATTGTTTTTGTTAATTATAGTTATTGGAAATTGAAATCAATGAGAGGTGAGGGAGAGCAACAAAATTACACCTGCTAAATTGCTACAGTTAGCACTTTTTCCCCCAAAACAAATTAGAATCTGCTTTATTCATCTGCTTTGCTACTTACCACATGTAACTGTGCATACTCCAAATTCTACTTCCTTGGATACTGTAGCATTCAAACCTAAACACAAAGTCTGAAGTTACATTTCTAATACAATGAATGAAACCTGCTTGCAGGTCATCTAGATAGCATGGGAGGAAGGAATAATGCCCAGTTACCAAGAAATTCACTTACTGAAGTCTTCTCTGGTCTTTTTCAGAAAACCAAGTGTAAATAACTAATATTTAAATCTTAATCGGATTTTTGAGAAAAGATTATGAATTTTCCTTATAAGTCAACCCATTACGTTAAATTGGCCTACTGAATACCCTGAGAGATACAAAAGTATCTGTGCACAATATAGGTCTTCCCTTAAAAGAGGCAAGCAAAATTCTCTATAAAGAATATTTCAATCAGCCCATTTCCTAGTTCTTTCTGGCAAATGTAAGCCTTCCCACATGATTTTTTCCCGTTACATGTTAAGGTCAGCTTTAGACAGCTATCACAAGCCATGAATCAACCAGGTACAGTCTTTTAATTAACTATTGTGGTTTTAACCACTGATTTGGCTTTCCATTTTTCTAGTACTTCTGAGGCTAGGAAATGAGTTTTGCAAAATATGTAGAAAGAAAAGGTTTGTATCGCCATCTGGGATTAAAAAATGAATGGTATATTTTATTAATATTAGCATGCAAGTTGAATGTTTATAAGGATGCTAAGATAAAGTTACTGCTCGATAGAGGACTTAAACAACTTTATGCAGTGCCTTTGAAAACAATTCATTAAATAAGCAATAATTCTTTAATCTTTTAAAATATAAAGAAACAAACAAAGAAGATTTATTATGGTTGTTTTTATAAGTCTACATAATCAATCTGTCCTACTCCCAATATGTTGTAATGATAATAAATACCTATAAATACAAAGTTTACTTTTTTCTATTCCACATTTTTTTGTTTTGGAATCTCTTCTACACCAAATGCTATGTTAATTCATCAATGCAAGTTTATATTTCTCTTCTTTTAAGCTTTACATAAAATTTCTGTGGTTGAAAAATGCATGGGTCTTTCACACTAGCAGTCAGTGATGCACAAAAATTAAACAGCCTTCCTTAAGGGATTAATCCTACAGTGGTAACAGACACATTCATATAGAGATGAATTGATATAAAACCCTTGTAACCTCTTTTCCAACATTATTCATAAAACTTCATAATTCCTATGATATTCCTAACAAGATTTTTTATTTATTTCAATATATAAACTGTGTTCATCAGAACACTCTTAGCACATGTACAATATTTAAAGAATACTTTCACAATTGAGTTTGTTATTATTAACTCTCTTAAATCAGAAAGAGAGGTATTAAAAAAAGATTCTATCAGTATCATCTCATGCAAAATCATGTGAAAAAGGAAAGATCATAGAGCTGGAAGAGACCTCAGGAGGTCATCAAGTCCAACCCCCTACCCAAAGCAGGACCAATCCCAACTACATCACCCCAACCAGGGCTTTGTCAAGCCAAGACTTAATATAACTTAATACATCATGCTATCAGTTCCCCTCCCCCCATTTAAATCTGTGGGATGTTAGCTAAAGAGTTTTAGCTAATCTCAACCAGCACAACATAACAAAGACAAAGGAGATTTGCAAGGTCCCATCTATAATACAAATATAAAGGTGTTTAAATGTGGCTATAATATATAATAACTCATATTATAATATGGCTTATTCTCGTTTATAGGGACAGAAAAAAAACATGTTAGAAAACTGAAAGGCAGATCCTCAGCTAATGTAGATTGTCATAGTTCTATTGATTTAAATGGAGCCATGATAATAAACACTAGTTGAAGATCTGCTACAAGGGGTACGTCTACACAGAGATAAAAGAATCATGGAACGTCATGGCTGACTAGGTCAACTAACTCAGGATTACAGGGTTCAGACTGCAGGACTAAAAATTGCTGTGTAGATGTTTCTGCTCATACTGGAGTCCAAGCTTTGGGCCCCTCCACCCTCACCCAGAATGTAAGCCTGAATCAGCTAACGGGGACTATCTGTGAAGTTTTTTTACCCCAGATATCTACCTCAGAGGCTACCTATTATAGTAATCCAGTCTAGAGGTGACCAGATCTGTCAACTGTGGCAAGGTGTGGTCACATCTAAAAGGAGAGATTGCACTCTCCCACCCAAATACAAATGAAAAAATTGATTTTTTTTCATTGCGACTGTAACCCACACACCTAGAGTGGTTCACTGACCCATGTAGTGGCACTTAGTGAGAGATTAGAACAAGAGATGAGAGCCAGCTGGCTTTATAGCTCAAGCTGTAGAGGCTCCTACACTAAGCTCCAGAGAGCCCAGACTCAAATCTGCTTAGTGGCAGTTACACTACTACATGCTTTAAGAGCAGCCAGGCACCCCAGAGATTACTAGCCAAAGGTGAGCAGCCTAACTACACAAAGCAAACAAACTTCTGCTAATTATGGGGCAGATATCAATTATGCTATACTCTCAGGAGACTTCCCATGAGCCAGTAACATTACAAAACATATTATGACTCACAAACTTAACCAAACTAAGCAGTCATGACATAAGAGGGAAGGTCCTCTCATGAATCAGTGACAGATTCAATGATAGGAAACAAAAGGTAGGAATAAATTGTCACTTTTCACAATGGAAAAAGGTAAACAGTGGGTTCCCTCAAGGATCTGTTCTGAGACCAATACTATTCAGTATAATTACAAAAGATCTGGAAAAGACAGTGAACAGAAACATGGCAAAATTAGCAATTTACTCAATTTACAAAATTGATCAAGATAGTTACGTCCAAAGCTGATTGCAAAGAGTTACAACGGAATCTCACTAAAGTGGGGGACTGCAAGAAAATGGCAGATGAAATTCAATGCTAATAAAACCAAAGTAATGCGCATTGGGGAAAAAAATCACAACTAGTGATGCAAAATGATGGTATTGAAATTAACTGTTACCACTTAGGAAAGATCTTGGGAGTCATTGTGGACAGTTTTCTGAAAGCATCTGCTGAATGTGCAGAAACAGTCAAACAAGCTAACAGAATGTTAGGAACCATTAGAAAATGAATAGATAATAAACCAGAAAGTGCCATAATGCCACTACAGAAATTCATGATACACCCACATATTGAATATTGCGTGCAGTTCTGGTCACCCAATCTTAAAAAAGATAAGTCAAAATTAAAAAAGGTACACAGAGGGGCAACAAAAAGGATTAGGGGGACTGTTTAGTTCAGAAAAGAGATGGCTATGGAAGGACAGGATAGAGCTCTATAAAATCATGAATGGCATGGAGAAAGTGAATAGGAAAGAGTTATTTACACTTTCAAATAATACAGGAACTAGGGGGTATTCAATGGAATAAGCAGAAGGTTTAAATAAAAATAGGAAGTACATCTTCATACAACAACAACACACAGTCAACCTGTGGAACTTGTTGCTATGGGGCATCGTGAAGGCCAAAACTATAACTGCATTCAAAAAAGAATAAGATATGTTCATTAAGGATATGGTCATCAACAGCTATTAGTGAAGATGGTCAGAGATATAATCCTATGCACCTGGCATCCCTAAACCTTCAACAGCCAGAAGTTTAGACAGGATGATTGGAGATGGATTACTCATAATTGTCCTGTTCTGTTCATTCCCTCTGCAGCAACTGGCACTGGCCACTGTCTCAAGACAGGATACTGAGCTAAATGGGTCATTGGTCTGATTTGATATGGTCACTCTTATATTTTTAAGCTTACAATAGAGATGAATAACCCTAACTCAAAAAAGGGATTTTTTTAAAAAAATTCAAATACTATTCCATCTAAACTTTTAAATATATTTAAACACTGAAAATTGATTGACTGTAAATTACCATGCCAATCAAAAATAATTGACAATGGACTCAATCCTGTTGTCAGTGAGGTCAATTTTTAAAAAGTAAAGAACAACAACAACAACAACAAAAAACCTTTAAAGGGAACAGGGTGAGACCTAATGATATAATACTGAATCTATCACTGTAATGATACATTTTCACCTTTTCTTTACTTGCATTTCCTCCCTAGATTTTTTTTAAACTAATCTACAAATTGAGAAATCTCCCCAGAAAAAAATATATAATTACAGTCCTAAGGCTGCAATTAGTAGAAGCAAAACAAAGATATCTCGGGTTCTTCTCTACATTTGGAATCCTTGTAAAATTATGCAGAGCAGAAATCTTTTCCTTTATTCTTTCTTTTCATTACAAGTCACATCGCTGGATGCACACAGTACATTTTGATAAACACTTAAAAATCCTATTTGAGAATGTCAATAGGAGTTGTTGCAAGTCATGCCTGTGAAGTGAACTAATAGAGAAAGTCACTCACTCATGTTTTAAATGTTTTACTCTTATTGTGGCTTATTAGCAATATTTTCCACAATGCTACATGAAGCCTGAGTGTCCAGAGGATAAACTTAACACTTTCATTCCTAGTTCCAGCACTGCTGAAACTCAGGTTTTGTAGTCAAAGCAGCTGGCTTCATTGATCCCTCCCTCATAGGCAATTTCTGTAATGACACTGATAGCGGTCACATCAGAGCAGAGAAATGTGATAAACACAGCATGAAAAAAAATGCTGCAGGGAAAAAATACAGATAAAATTATGGAAAAGGGAAAGATCATTTTCAGATGGCAGAGGAAAGGAATATAATTCATTATGTAGCTGGCCTTGTGCCTAACCAGGCATTAGGTGTGAACTTGAGTAGCTCATTGCTCAGTGAACTAACAGAGAAGGGAGTTTACATGTAATCAACAAATTCCTTTAGCCCCCAATGTTCAGCTACATGAATCACAAGTAAATCTGGAATTTTTATAATTTCCTTTATTCCCCCTTTAGAAGGGCCCCTTAAAACCTGTGTGACTTGATAAACTATGAATGAACAAGGGTGTCTTCCCACTGTTGGCATAGAATATGAACTACTCTCCTATTGTCCATGCACCAGGGGAGTCAGGCTTCTTTCTGGTGAAGGTAAAAAGGACCAGGGACCTTTCTGCACTTCCCCACTATTTGCATACTCAAGGAAATCCTGCTTGCCCTCAGCACCCAGGGAGTATCCCTGCTGCATGGCACGCAGTAGACACCCCCTCACCCTCTCTAGCACCCCTGCCAAAGTCCCTCATCCTGCCCAGCACCCCAGAGCCACCCCCTTAGCTGGCACTCCCTGACCATCCTGGCACCTCACACAGATACCCCCTCACTTGGCCAGGCACCCCACAGACACCCTCTTCATGCTGCTTGGCATCCCTGACCCAACTTAGCAGCCCATCAACACCCTTGAGATCCTCTCAACCTGCCTGGCACCCCCTGACCCATCCTGGCCTCCCCCCCCCCCCAACACCCCCCCCCCCGCCGCCCCCCCCACACACACAGAGTGGCCCACCCTCTCACCCTGCCTGGCAGCCCTCAGACGCCCTCTCACCCTGCAGGGACCCCTCGGCCCGGCCCCTTCCCTCACCCGGCTCTGGGAGCTGCACCAGCGGCTCCACCCCGACTTGCTCCACGGCCACGGCCCTCTC